GACAGCAAACACGAACGGTCTACAAAACTTTCGATCACAAAATTGGAGTTGCCATTTGGGGAGACATAAAGAATCGGCATTAGCGGAATATTTGTGATGTGGAAATGAAGATTGGAAACAAGCAAGAAGTTTCACAGTCAGCTGGTAGATGTCGCGCTTTTTAGTTCATTGCTGTAAGCGCGTCTCACGACCCCCCGAGTCTCACGACCCCCCGAGTCTCACGACCCCCCGGTCTCCCCTATGTTTGACTCAGTTGGAGCTTTTTATTGTAATTTTAACATGTGTAAATTAGTGATGTGTTGAAAAATAGGTTGGTGATCCATCGATTAAACTTTAAAGTTATTAAATTGGATTGGGTAATGAATCTACAGCTGTCCATTGGCACGGCTTGCACCTGTGGCTATTAAGTGTAAGTCGATTTTGTTCATTGAGCAAAATTCTCGGAATTTATTACTTGCAAAGCTCCTGCCTTGATCTGCAATGATTCGACTAGGAACTCCGAAGAAAGAATACCTGACTGTACAGCTTTAATGCAATTTTCCGAGTCTAGATTAAGAGTGTGATACAAGTGAACATACTTGGTGAATGCATCGATCTGGACAATAATATATTCCTTTAAGTCATTCTTTCCACTGAGCTTGCCATTTATGTCTACGTGGATAGTATGCCAAGGTATATCAATCTTAGGTATGGGGTGCAATTCCATTTGAACTTTTCCTGAAGAGGATTTGGACAATTTGCAGGTTATACAGTTTTCAACAAACTTTTTGACATATTTAGACATATTCTCAAACCAGAATTGTTCATAAACCTTATCTAGAGTCTTCTGCCATCCTAAATGCACCATAGCCTCATGTACATGGTTTATGACTGACCACCTAAACGCCTTAGGAATTACTGGTAGACAACGAGTCTTGCCATTACGTTGTATCTTACTATATAATAATCCAGTTCTAATCTCATAGGTTTTCATTACATCTGATTCTATATCTTCACTATTTAATTGGCCCATGATTTTTATTATGCTATCATCTCGTTGTTGTTCGGCTATCAACCAATTATCCGTTATTGCGGCTAGATCTACACGGACAGGAATTGGATTGCGAGATAAAAAATCTACATGTGCCATTGGGTTACCCTTTCTATACTCAATACTAAAATCAAATGCCTGTAGATACGCCCACCGTCGGTGTACTCTTAGGGTTAACTCAGCTTTCGTTTGGGTCGCTTTTAATGAATTGCAATCAGTGTGCACAATAAATTTTCTACCGTGTAAATAATGTCTGAAATGTTTCACTGCATTATAAACAGCTAAAGTTTCTAGCTCATACGAGTGATATTTAGCTTCTGATGCTGTCGTGCAATTGCTAAAATATTCAACTATACTACGTTTAACATCTATTTTATGTATCAGCATTGCGCCTTAACCATCAGCGCTGGCATCTGTATGCAGTTCGATTTGGAGTTCAGGGTCGAAAATTGTTAGTACAGTAGTACTTTGTAGTAGTACTTTGATAATTTTCTGTCGAATCTGATCATGCTCTTTTTTCCAATCAAACGTTTTAAGCTTAGAGGTCAACTGATAAAGCGGCTTCATTTGCTCTGAGAATCGCGGGACAAATTGTCTAAAGTACGATCCCAAACCTATGAATTGCCTTAACTGCGTTGCAGTGGATGGTGGTGGCAAAGCAGAAAGGGCTTCTATCTTACTTGGATTTGGTTTAATTTCACCATCTTTAATATAAAACCCAAGGTACTCTATTCCTGTGCGAAGAACAGCGCACTTCTTTATATTAAATGTAAAACCTGCCTCAGACAAAACTCTCAGCACTATGCCCAACCTTTCAAATGCCAATTCCTCGCAATACAATTAAATTATTAAATCTCTTTCCAAAAATTTTGTTACTTAATTTTTCTTTTATCAAAGAACACTCGGCACCCGAGTGGAAGAAAAATGGAAAGGGCTCACCCATTTGATAGAATAAACCTTTGGGCTCCAGAACTTGGCATATGTCCACGCACTTCTCCTTGTACTCGCCGTTTCCTCTGGTACTACCTCTGGGGCATGCAGAAGCAATATGTCCAGCCTCACCACACTTGTAGCATCGTATGTTTGGACGATCCTTTGCTCCAGACACGCTGCTTCCACTGTAGGTCTTTCCTTTGGTAGATGATGAGCTCTCTATGCGAGCACGGCATTAGGCGTATTTGTGGCCAATTTTTCCACAAAAATGGCATTTTATTTGCGACTGCATCCGTAATTTTTTTTTGTCCGAGCTCGACGAATATTCGGCCTCTTCGTTTTTCCGTTTTTTGAAGGCGTAGACCTGTAGCTGCCGCTGTAATTCATTTCGCGTCGTCACATTGGTTGTGAACACCCAACGCAGCAAATTATTGTCGATCTGCGCCATGTGGGCTAACGCTATTGACACTGCAATCTCTTCCAACTCCATGGATTTCCACTTGGATAGTAATAGCGTCACTATGCGACTTCCATGCTCGGCAAAGCTTTCTCCACATTTGGGATGCCCGTTTAAGATATTGATCAAAACGGCAGCCGTTGTCTCAATGCCAACGAATCGCTGGATGAATAATTCCTTGAATTGCGCCCAGGTGATGCCAGCAAAGCATACCTGGGACAACCATTGCGAGGCACTGCCCCCCCGCGCTTTGCTTAGCGCTATTACGAGGGCACTGCCCAGGCACGTATCCCCGAAATCTTTGAATTCAAACATTTTTTCTATTTAAGATTTTTCATTTAAGGTGTATGTTCTGAAGGAAAATACATACTGAATTCACATTTTGCTCTTTGCAGATATTTTATGTGAAACATAAATAATACTTCAATTTTTTTTAACATTATAGTAACTGTTAATTGTAACCTTATACTTTGTACTGTACCTTTTTCTTGCACAATGAATAATAAAAGATCAAACGTCACGTACTGATTAAAGATTGATGTGTGATTTGCCTTTTTCTGAATTTATTCGAATAAGTCCACATTTTTGATTGATTTTTGTCCTTGAGCCCCTCCGAAACAAATTTCTGGATACGGGCCTGGCACTGCCTTCAAGTACGTCCTCTGCGAAGATTAGATCGACTGTGGTGCACCATGCTGATGCATCTGCTCCAGCGCCATCCGGATTAAACTTGGGCAGTGTCACATGCGTGGTCTTCCCGTCTGATGCCGGGGCTCTTGGCTCTTGGTTCTAATGATTTCCAAGAGGTTTTTGTTTTGCTCCTCCAACGCTGCCATATATTGAGCGGAGCTGTGCTCTTGTGGCGAAGGCGATCCCACTTCTGATGTCGGAAACACTATAATGTCTTCCATTATTCACACACTTTTATTACTGATGCGCCAGCACAGCGAGTTCCGCTCACTCTCGTTACCAAAACTAGATTAAATTCGATCTCATCGATCCTCGTCTTATATATTGTCAGACTACGTATATTGTCATCTCTTTCAATCTCAGGACTTTTTGTAACCCGTCAACGACTTCACTCATCAGCAGAGACCGCCAGCGTCTCTGCTGATATGCTTTACGCATAAATTCTTGTACTTCCCCGAATTTCAACCCGACAACTCGCCAGCAGAGACTGCCACCGTCTCTGCTGCTATGCCTTTCTCATGAATCCTTATACATCGCCGAATTTCTTTCCATCACTCGTTAACGCACATCACTTACAAGCAGAGACTGCTACCTTCTCTGCTGCTATGACTTTAGCATGAACTCTGAACTTCCTCGAATCTCTTTCCGACATATACATAATAATTGGAAAAAAGAATGATAACGTCGTTGTATTTTATCCCACAAGAAAGATTTTTAGAACATCGAATATTTTATCTACCCTTCAGTCAAGAAAAAAATTTCATAAAAATCCGACAACTATATCGTATAGCTGCCATAGGAAAGATCGAGAAATCTATATAGAATTAAGGGGTTATATCCAGTTGCGAGGCCAAAAAAATGAGCTTTTTTGAAAATTATTTTTGGAGAGGCTATTTATTGTATGTATACGTGTTATATATGAAAAGATAGGTAATTTTTTCTAGTTTTAGAACACATTTTTAAAAAAAAAATTTTTTGGACTCCGTCGGTCCTGTAGAGGATCTCCCGAGGGTCCACTTTAAAAAAGGGTTTTGCGGTGAGGAAAATATCTCCGGTCCAAATGATCAGAAATACAAAAAACCAAAAGGATTACGTAAAGAATAGACAAATGCTGGTAATGAGACTTGGGATTTTCAAAATTTTGATTTTTGACAAAATGGCGGCTTCCCAAACATAAAACTTTGTTTTTGGCACAAAAATTTCAACTTTGAAGTGGCTAAAAAAATCGAAATTTTTGTCGGAGCCAAAATTCCAAGTCTCATTACCTGAAAAAAATATCTAAGAAGAGAATGTGAAAGTTTCAAGTCAATCGGTCAAGCCGTCTCCGAGAAATTTTCCTCACCGACTTTGAAGACATAGTTTCGAGAAAAACGCATTTAAAGTTTTGGCTACTAGTTGAACTACATGGGAGACGTCTTTACAAATACACTGATTACTCCAATACTATTTACGGGAATACTTTGAAATTTTCAGATAATCTTCTTAGATATATATACATTCAAAATAGGCAAAAAAAAATTTTCGATTTTTTCAAAATCGCAACTGGATATAACCCCTTAATGAAAAGAAAAAAATAACATTGTTGTTTTTCATCAGACAATCATAATTTTTGGAATAAAATGTTTTCTAATGACTCTTGAATTTCAAATTAAATTTCATTAAAAATATGAACTCGTCGAAAATTTGAAAAATTATTAGAAAAATCGTCATAGCTTCGATGTTGTTTAGCCCTTATGCATATAGTTCGACATATTTGATGAATGCCAGGGTATATCAGCTTCGGCTTGCCGAAGCACTTAAAGACTTTATGAACGCATTTATGAGATTTTTTAAGTCTGTGCGTCCAAATAAATAAATGTTATATAATCTAAATAAATAATCGAATAAAAATGTGTGTTAAATGTGTGAGTTTATTTGTTACCTGCTGCTGTACAATTTTAAAAAATATGGTTTTTTATGCAGCTCTTAATATTCCAAGTTTTGTAAATTTCCCGTGTATAATTTAAGTTTGGTACTTTCACAAAAATAATATAAAAAGTTCAATTTATGTAATACAAATGTTTTCTTGGTGTTTGTACTTAAATATTACTACGCAAAAATAAATGTCTTTTATAAATGTAACCAAGTAATTATAAAAATTTGTAATTACTTAGAGTGCACAGCGAATTGAATAACGAGCAAAATCTCACGCAGATAAGGCATTCTCTATAACAATTTTCGGCGACACAAAATTCTCTTTTTTTGTTTTCTATTTATAGCATAATTTTCTTTTTCGGGTTATCTTTTAGATTTGTGACACCTTGTGACAGATTTTAACTCTATAATAAAGATAAATTTAGGAGTTCCACCACGTGAATTTAAGTTGGGACTAGTTAAGTATTAATTCAACTAGGAGTTTCTAAGCATATTAATGGTTTTTAATGTAGAAGTGTACGAGTATGTTTCTGTGGATTCCGTTTGTGAGTGATCGTTAATTAAAAATAGTGTTTTAACTAGAGAGCATATATTGCTATTCAGAGTGAGCACTTTTTAGCTTTTGTTGTTAACGCCAGAATTATTGCCGATTATTTTTTGTACATCTGTGGAGCCATCGATATTATTTTGATTTGATTTTGCCGCAGCGGCCATTGCTTCACGACGCTGACGTTTCATCTCCAGTAATTGTTTTCTCTGAGCTTCGCGCTTTAAAACCATGGCCGAATTAGGCGGAGAAGCTTTTGATCCATTTACATTAATGTTATTGTTTTTTCCAGAAGTTTTTGCTTGAATAGCTGCAATCTTTGCGGGTTTGGTAGATCTATTTGGTACTGACTCAACCTTAACTGGTTCAGCAGCACGCTATGAAATACAGAAGTTAGAGTATTTTTTCATGTATAACCTAGACTGGCGAAGACTAACCTTCCAGTTGTTTGCTTTGAGCAGCTCAATATCGGCAAATATTGAATCAACGTGTTTCACCTGCAAATAAACCATGTCCCAGAATCCTTGTAAATCGTCAACTGTTGTTGGAAACGCATCCTCCGGCGAACGATTAAGATTGTTGTGGCATAGGCCTAAAATATTAAAATAATTAACATTACGCTAATCACGTGTGTTCATTATTGCTCAATACCAACCCTCAAATTGTTTCATTTTCTGGGACACCAAAAGACGGGCCTTTCCAGAAGCTGATCGCAGTAGCCCAAAGGTGTCCTCTGTGATATCCGGAGTTGCCTGAAGAATTTAAAATTTAAAAAATGTAATATTCTTTAAAGCAGTCAACGTCGGTATACCCAATATGTATGAGTATGGGTATAAATGTTTTAAACGAGCTTATCCCTTAGTTCTAGAATTTTTAAAAGGAACTAGTCAGTGAAGCGGGAAAACACTAGATTTACACTTTTGTGTGAGCTAGTTACCTTTTTTTTAATACGTCATAGGTTTTTTTTACCTCAGCAAAGAACAAATAACAATAACGTCGTTTCTTATAGAAGCATTATACATATTTTGATCATATCGTTTTATTAAGGCAGGTTCTCACCTTGTGGGGAAAAAAATCAATTTTTTTTGGATTTTCGTATAGATATATGTTTTAAGAATTTGCTCAAAAATTTCAGATCAAAATTACAAGAGTTACAGGCCTTTACATGGAGCACATGTCGAGCACCGGTCATCTGAAGCCAAAACTTGAAACGCGTTTTTCTCAAACCGTGTTTTCGGACCTGATTTTTTTTTTCAAAATTTTTTTTTCGCAAAATAAATGTGCTTTCAAATACAGTCAAAAATTTCTTTAACCGTTTAAAAAATTTTTTTTTTTTTTTATTGCACTTTTTCGGCTTTACAAGGTGAAAACCTGCCTTAAACATTATAAATTACTGCTGCCACAAAATAAAAAAAAAACATAAAAATAGGAAGCTTGAACAAGTTTTGTTTGGTTTTTTAACATGTCTAATTTTAGACTTTGTAAATATCGGTCCGAAATACCATTTTGTTTACATATACCATTACCATACCATTACTTGTATACCCTGAGTTTTGGCTTGCCTGTTAGCAAATTTGCTGTTTTCCGTTTAATATTTTTCTAATTGCATAAAGAAAAAGTTTTTTAAAGGGCATTATTCACAATGATAACGCATGATAACCTTATCGGATTTTAATGCAATTTTTTTCTCGATTTGCGGGTTATTAAAAAACTAAACATTTTGAAAATCATGCGCGTGGGATTAAAAAACGACGTTAAAATTTTTTTCATTATTTATATAAATTTTGTTTGATTATTCCTATGGCAGCTATATGATAGAGTTATCCGATTTTGATCAAATTCAATTCAAAATTCAGTAGTATGTGTTATATACTGCGTGCTATAACTACACAACTTTTGGGAAAGTTTCACCAAGATAGCTTTAAAACTGAGAGACTAGTTTAAAGAGAAACAGGCAGACTTACAGACGTATTTTGATTCAGATCGTAATGTTGATCAAGAATTTATATACTTTATGGGGTCTGAGGTGTCTCCTTCACTGCGTTACAAACTTACAAAAAAAACCCGATGCTCTAAAAACCATGGTCGTGGGATAAAAAATTGAGACTAGTTTACAAAGAAACAGACAGACGGGCAGACGGACAGACGTATTTCGATGATCAAGAATTTATATATTTTATGGGGTCTGAGGTCTCTCCGTACACAATTACAATAAACACAAAGTATACAATTACAATAAACTTCTCCTGCGTACAAATAACAGGGGTCTACATTCAAAATTGCAATATTTTAGCTTTTAAAGTTTCCGCGACCTCAAACTCCATACCAGCAGGAAAACAGACGGACACACTTACATATGTGACTAGATCGACAAGTACAATAATTTTAATTAAGAATTTACACTATGTACATAAATACTGCAGTATATTCTTTTAATCTTCAAGTATTAAGAGCACTAAATTTCAAGCAAATTTGTTTTACAATTTTGTGGAAACAATCTTAACTCATATTTTGGGAAATGCCGTGTTTTGATAAATTATCCATATAAAATTAAGAAAAAAATATGTTAACCCGCAGAAATTGTCTGTAGCACTAGTCTTTTTGTAACAGAAGTAAAACTATTTTTAGCTGCTTTGCCGGCAGCGGGTTTTTATTGAACTCAACAAAAAGTTACTAGGAACTTAAAAAACTGTCCAAAGGGAAGCCTGTTTATTTGGAAATATAGATTATCGTGATTGTGAAGTGTGAAACAAACGAAACAAAAACAAACTTAAATGTGTGTATTAATTGCAGTACCTAATGCTTTTTACCCTGTGGGTGTGTCAGAAGAGAAATTTCGATGGGTATCTTCATAGCGTACCACCAATTACTTACATAGAGGGCGTCTGTGTATTTATCAGCGAGGGCTGCCAGCGCCAGTAGACGAATTTGTTCCTCTTTTAATAGTTTAAGAAAGTGATTTCCGTCCTTTATACCTGATGAAAGGACAATTTTGGTAGTGCTGACGTATTCCTCTGAGGTCAACTGCACAATTTTCGGAGACTCGTGGTCGACAACATCAATAGGAGCTAAACCTTTCCTTGGCTGCGACTCGTCATTAATGAGCTGCGACTGAGGAGCGTTCGGGGATCGGTGGACACCCCTTTTGGGAGATACCGTGGGCAGCTGAGCTCTAAATTCGTGACTTAGGTGCCTAAAAACTGGCAAGTCCACTTCTCCGCCGTTTCCCGAAGGAGGTGAAGTTTCGGCCAACCGCGCCACTCCACTCTGTGAGAAGTTATTGTGCAGTTTTTTTCGGAACTCCCCGTAGTCTTTACTAGGTGAAAGCTGCTTGAATTTTCGAGCCAATTCTGAGCCCTGTGGAGATTCGACACCGAGCTGCTGCATTTCCAACTGCCCCGCTGCTGGCGATGGGGACTGGCCGTGCTTCTTTGGGCTATAGAAGCCCTGAGCTAAGGCACCGGGCCCGTAAAGTCGCTCCACACGCTGCTTTATAAAGCTACCGTTTCCATTGGCGTGGCCGGGATCCGATCCATTGCCCACGACGATGTGTCCGTTGCTGCTGTTGTTGGTTTCCGCTGGTTTACACTTATTAGCTGGAGAGGGCATGCTGTGCAGGACAGGAGCCGTTAAGGACTGGCTGCGCTTGCAGTACTGCAGACTACTGGTGGACGGTCTGATCGGCGAAACCTCGCGGGACTTGTTTATATCCTGGCGGATCTTGGAGTCATAGGTAGTCAGATTCGAGTAACCGTTCACGCAGCAGGCCAGATTTAAATAGCTAGGCTTCTTTTCGGATTTGCCAGCTTCCGATGAATTTTTAGAGGTTTCCTCCACAGCCACATCAGTGACAGACTCTCGGGAGGACTCCACGACTACGGGCGTCAGAACCATGCGCACCAGCCCCGTTGACGCGGGTTCAGCGTAGGCGGGGGTCGTGTGCTGTGGCTGATGGGGCGAGCGGAGAACACAGCGCTCCCGGAGGTTCTCGGTGAACTCGCGGGTGACGTCTTTCACTGAAAGCGGCGTGGGAAAGTTTAAGCTTCCACTAGTGTCTGAAAGTGGGTGGATCAAATTACTTACAGGCGGGATAATGGGTGCAGGTGGCCAATTTAAATAATTTACCTGATATATCTGAGGAGTCGGCGTCTACATCGAGTGAACAGCTGCCAATGGAATCCAGACTGCGATCCATGAAAACTTTGTCTGTAGAATAAAAAGCGTTGAACCCCTTCTAAGCAAAACTAGAAATTCAAAAATCTAAGAGGTGTGAAGTAAAAAACTGATTGTTGACTTCCGGAAGTCATGACCAAGAATAAAGAGGCTGACGCCCACGACTGGCTTGCCTTTAATAATACTTTTTGCTATTCGCTTATCATTTCGAATGCCAAGCAGACCCCTGACCAAGCCGCTGGAGATTTAAATTGATTTTCTAGACAAATTGAATGGATTATTTTTTGAAGCAGCAACATTTGAAATTAGTGAAATCAGCATCTAGCTGACGTGCTGTCTTCTTCTTCTTTTTTAGATCGCGCTTGTAACAATGTGAGTGCACAGCTCAGCAGATGGGAGCAGCTCTAACGGCACTTCACATTGCCAGTTCCGCTTTACTGGCTTTTCGCCGTTGTTTTGCTCAGTTGCTGTGCTCTGTTCTCTTCCCAGTGCCATATATATACACAAACATACTGAGAACACCCTGGCACGACATGGAACGCATAATGGGACTAAGAGACAGCACTCAACTATTTATAATCCGGCTGAGTTTAAAGACATGACGGTATTTCTGGCTCCCGAAGTTGCAAGCCGCATAAGCTCGATGAAGGGATCGCAGTACGCACACGAACTTCAGTCTATTTTAGTCACTAATCACAAAAAAATGACCTTACGCATTCGGCGGAGAGGGAGGTCCTAGCGAGGGAAGGACAACTCAAGTCTCCAGGCAAATTCAGTACCAGATTTGCTACACTTTACTGAAGGAACGAAAAAAATCACTTAAATGACAAAAGATGTGACCGAAGCGTGGACTTTGGAAAAAGTCATCTGGTCTTTTATTTGGTGTTTTGGTATTTTAAAAGACAAGACAAAATAGCGTCATAGGCTTGCAGTGCTTGTGGGGGAAATAAATCGGTTTTTCTCATGCTTATTGTGTAGATGTTTTTTCAAAAATGTGCTCCAGAAACTTCAGATCAAAATCTGAAAAATTAAAAAAAGTTACCGGCGTTGGGATAAACCAATCATCTACCAATTTTTTAAAAGTGTTCCTCATAGTTTTTTCTAAAAAAAAACTACGGTTAGCACCAAAAATTTAAAATTATTTATTTAAAAAAATAATAGGTGAACAAAAAACGCGAAAATCGTAATTTTTTTTTAAAAGCTCATAACTTTTAATTTTTTTCTTTGATCGTTGTTCATTTTATATGTACGTAATGGGGTACACACTAAGAATCTTCTCGGTTTTTGTGACTTAGATTATCATTTTGTCGGAATCACTTCCGGTAGCAGGACACCTCCACCGCCGACCTCACCTCCTTTTATGAATTATTTAATTTTAAAAAATTTTTGTCAAAATAAATAAATTAAATAAAAAAAATAAATGTGTGTTCATATCCACAAAAAAATATTGAGCTTTGTATATTTTAACGTTTTCTCAAAAAAAATGTGCACTTTTTCTGGTCTACAAGGTGAGAACCTGCTCAATGGGTTAATTGAACGGCAATTCTCACTGAGATATTTTTATACCCTTGCAGAGCAAAGGGTATTATAATTTCAGTCAGAAGTTTGCAACGCAGTGAAGGAGGCACCTCAGAACCTATAAAGTATATATATTCTTGATCAGCATCACGATCTGAAATACGTCTGTACGTCTGTCCGTCTGTCTCTTTCTATGTAAACTAGTATTTCAGTTTTGAAGCTATCTTGCTTAAACTTTCCCAAAAGTTGTGTAGTTATTGCGCGCAGTATATAAGTCGGAACGGGTCGGATCTGCCAACTATATCGGATAGCTCATATACGAGAAATTAAAAAAAAATCTCACTCCCTTGTTTTTGATCAGATCGACTTGATTTTTTCCAGATGGCGTTTTCTAACTAATATTGAATTTCGTTTTAAATTTTATCGAAATCGGATAACTCTATAATATAGATGCCATAGGAGAGACCAAAAAATATATATAGAATTAATGGAAATTAATTGATAACGTCATTGTTTTTCATCAGACGACTATGATTTTTTGAGTATCAAGTTATTTAACTAGTCTGGTTTATAAAAAAATGTATAAAAAATTTCATAAAAATCGGACAACTATGTATATCATATAGCTGCCATAGGAAAGATCGAAAAATCTATTTCGATTTAACGGAAATAAAATGATAACAACGTTATTTCTCATCAGAAAATCATTTTAGGAATATACAGTTTTCTAACGACTCTTGAATAACAAATAAAATTTCATCAAAGTAGGACGACTATATCATATGAACAATAGTCAAAAATATGGAAAATTAATAGAAAAGACGTCGTAGCTTCGATGTTGTTTGACTTTGTGTATTCTGTTCGTAATATTTGATGACTGCAAGGGTATATAAGCTTCGGCTTGCCGAAGCTAGCTTCCTTTCTTGTTTAATCTTCATTTTAGACTTTAGAAAGTTCATAAGATGTTAATTTGGCAACGCCTTCTAACATTTTCGTGTTTTTCTCGATTTTACTTTGCTCATCTCGGTACCGGGTTGTAAACAAACTATGGGAAAAAATAGTTTTTCAAATATTCTTGCTCACTCTTATAAACTTCGTGTTTTTTCAATCTGCATACTACTAGGCTTTACCCTCAAAATATTCTTTTTAACAGGCAGAAAACGACGTATCCGTGTTTCCCACCAAAGTTTACTAGTTTTGAAAAAACCCAATTTTGATGGAACACGATTTCTTCGTCTGGTAACACTGCGGTTTATTTAAACGGTCCTGCCGCGGTCACATTGCTGTCCATTTTATATTTGTACTCAATCCATTTTTGTTGTACTTTGTATATAAGCGCGCGCCCACTTCGTTCGGATTTAAACGGTTAACGCCCGTAGTTCGTTGCATTTCTCCAGTAGTCCGAGACAACTCCACAGTACGATGGCCGAGCTTTCGAATGAACTTCAGCAATTATTTGCGTGAGTAGAATGGGTCTGCGTGAGTACGGGTCTAGAGATGCAGAGATGCCTTCAATGTGTGAGTTACTTTCCTCACATATACTTCCAAGCCAGTATATGTACAAGTTTTGTGCTACGGCATCTTTAGAATTAACTCAGTTATGAAAAACAAAGGCAGTAACCTGATAAGGGATAGCAAGAAAATAACACGTCTGCATTCATATTTTTTCAAGGGGAACATTATTTTTATTATATTATAATTAATATGTTATCCAGTCGTATATATTGATACACACGTCGCCAGGACCGACGTGTTTAATGGCAACAACTGAACATATCGAGTGAAATGTGTTTTTTTATCATTGACCTAACTGTCCAGAGCTCGTTTTAATAGTTGTATTTCCTTATCGGTTTGTGTTGGAAAGTCACAAATAGAAAGTCTCCCCAGCAACGGGTATTTGCTTATCCAGGGGCTGAGCCGCAAACTGATAACAGTTCTTGTGCTTTTATGTTCGCATATGTAAGCTTTACACGCCTTTATCAAATGGTCATAAACCGCAATCTCTTTTTAGCTTTGTTGATGGCAAGAAGAGCGATTACATCGAGGCCCTGAGAAATGTTGTGGGGATACAGTCGGTTTCAGCATGGCCCGATAAGCGCGGTGAGATTGATCGCATGGTAGACTGGACTGCGGAACGACTGAGGAGCCTGGGCGCTGAGATAGAACTGGCGGATGTGGGCAAGCAGACCTTGCCAAGCGGCCAGATAATCCCTCTACCAAAGGTTCTGCTTGGAACCTTGGGCAGTGACACCTCCAAGAAGACCGTGTTGGTCTACGGACATCTGGATGTGCAGCCCGCCTTAAAAGAAGACGGCTGGAACACTAATCCTTTTGAGCTCACTGAGGTGGATGGCAAGCTATTCGGGCGCGGTGCCTCCGACGACAAAGGACCTGTCCTGTGCTGGATTCACGCCATCGAGGCTTACCAGAAGCTCAACATTCCGCTACCTCTGAATGTGAAATTCGTTTTTGAAGGAATGGAGGAGAGCGGCAGTGAAGGTCTCGACGAATTGTTGATGCAGCGCAAAAACGATTTCCTAGCCGATGTCGATTATGTTTGTATCTCGGACAACTACTGGCTGGGAAAAAAACGTCCTTGCCTTACTTATGGGCTCCGTGGGCTTGCATACTTTCAAGTGGAGGTGGAATGCTCAAACAAAGATTTGCACAGTGGTGTGTTTGGGGGCACCGTCCATGAAGCTATGCCAGATCTTTGCTACTTACTCAGCATTCTTGTAGACAAGGACACCAAAATCCTGGTCCCTGGAGTCGAACGCGACGTGAGTAGTTCGTCATAGTCAAAAACCTTTTTTTTAACGCTGTGATTCTTTTTTCACTCGTGCAGGTTGCCCCTCAGCTGAAGAACGAGCAATCAATTTACGAAAACATTGACTTCGAAGTTTCTGAGTACAAGTCAGTTAATCTTATCTCTATCTAAAGTCGTAAATCTTATAATCCATGTTAATTCTATAGGAAAGACATTGGTGTTGACCAGCTGCCGCATAATAGCGATAAAATCAGACTGCTACAAGCCAGGTGGCGTTATCCCAGTCTGTCTGTCCACGGAATCGAGGGTGCATTTTATGAACCAGGCGCGAAAACAGTTATTCCGAAAAAAGTGATTGGCAAGTTTTCCATTCGCCTTGTGCCCGATCAGGACCCAAAGCACATTGAAGAATGTGTAGTTAATTATCTTAATGATAAATGGGCTGAGCGTGGTTCGCCAAATAAAATGAAGGTTCGTTGTCGGAAAAGTTAAGCATTTATATATGTATATTCATGATTTTTGATTAAAGGTTGTTATGCTCTCGGCTGGCAAGCCCTGGACTGAGGACCCAAACCATCCGCATTATGAGGCTGCGAAGCGGGCTATTAAGCATGTTTTCAATGTAGAACCGGACATGACTCGTGAGGGGGGCTCCATACCAGTAACATTGACATTGCAGGAAGCAACTGGGAAAAACGTGATCCTCGTACCAGTGGGAGCATGTGACGACGGAGCTCACTCTCAAAATGAAAAAATCGATATTTACAACTACATTGAAGGCGTAAGTTAGCTTTGATGCTTTTCTTTGCTCAATTTAAACCTTTTATTTTTTAAGACTAAACTTCTTGGCGCCTATCTGCACGAAGTGGGAAAATTATAAATACATACTGCTATTTTCATAAAACACATTAACCCGATGAAACATCACAATGGTGCCCTTATTGAAACAAATTTAATGTGAATAATAAGACTTTAACTGCAAAATAAATATGGTATTTTATTTTGTTTCAGTACGGAAATTGCCGCTTTTTACGAATCCATTAAAGTTTTTGTCAACCAGCAAATACCCGTTGCTTAAAGAATCAATCTTAGTGGTTATCATGGAAAAGATAAAAAATATATACAGTAGAATATTGTTATAACGACTCCGCTTATAGTGTCTGTCCGGGTATTGCGACGAAAACTCGTCGATCCCTTGAAAGCGGATTCTACTGTACATTTCTTTTGGCATTTTTAATTTAAAAAAACAAATTTTTAAATTGCGTGTTCAGTACCGAAAGAGAGAGTGCAAGTAAATCGTAAAAGAATTGTTTTTCGATGTATTTTTTAGCGAACTGTCGATATGAGCATGGCAGACGAAAAGTTGCCACCTGTTTCATATTTTACAGCTGATAATAAATTTAAATTGGAGCGCGAAAGCAAATACAATAGAATCCGCTTATAGCGACTTCCAAGGGACCGACGATTTTTCGTCGTTATACCCGGAAGACGAAGAAGGCTTTAAGTGTATAAGTCTGTTTAGGGACCAATCAAGCCATGGAGTTTTCGTCGCAAAAACCGAACGGACACTATAAGCGGATTCTACTGTATTTTAGAAAAAAAAATTAATATTAGATTTAAAAAAAGGACAGATTTCCGGATGAAAAATCTAAAAAAAAAGGACAAATTTCAGGTATGCGGATGATTTTCAATTTTTTTCCGGATGAAGCGTTAAAAACAGGACAGATCTGTCCGGAAAAAGGACATATTGACATCACTGGTTTTAAGGCTATCTTGCTAAAACTTTCCCAAAAGTTATGTTGTGACAATCAAATAGCTACCATACGAGAGATTGAAAAAAAATTATCACTTTTTAACTAATCTAACTAACCTTTGAATTAAGAAAAAAATTCATAAAAATCGCGCATATAACTGACATATGAAAGATTGAGAAATCTATATACAGTGGCGGATTTACGGAGGGGGTTTTAGGGGTTCAAACCCCTACCAAAAAAACCCCGCAGAGCGGTAAAATTGAATTGAAACTATTCGCTTTTTCCGTATTCGTATTTTTTTTCAATCGAAAACCACTCTTGAATTTAGAATTAGATTTCATGAAAACCGTATGACTTTATTATACGGCTGTCATAGGAAAAAAAACTACATACATATGTACATATATAAGATTATTAAAATTAAAGGGAAAAAATTAAAACGTCGTCGCAGATGGTGTTTTAAAACACTCTTAAATTTTAAATTAAGTATAAAAATCGGATGTCATACGAAAGATTGAAAAATATATACAAAATTAATGAAATAAAATGTATAACCTCGTTACTTTTTTGGTATAGGTATGATATTAATTTTTGAAAAGTAAGTGCGGAGTGCGTATTACTACGCCTACGAGTGTGGCGATTAAGTTCTGGAAATAAAGTTATAATAAGAAAAGTGGCAACACAGTGATCTTTCTTCAGTTCAAGTCAAATTTTGAAGGTCGATCTTTAATGCGTGTTTCTCGGAAGTGCTTTGTTAACCCTTTCAGGACCATACGATTATGAGAGGTAAAACATGTCAACTAGTTAGGATGATTCATAGAGCACCTAAAAATCATATTTCTAAATAAAAATATATGAAACTTTCCTATTTTTTTTGGGGCACATTAATAAATAATTATGTAAGTAATACGTTCAAAAACCCATCTTATATATAAAAATGAATCGCAAAATGTGTTGGTAAGCGCATCACATGAAAACGGCTTGTACTAAATAAAATTACATTAATCCTTATGATGGTTATTTAGCTGTCTTTTATTTTTTGCTTGGGACATATGTGTCCCCGTGGTCGTCAAAAGGTTAAGATGCGTCAGGAAAATGAGCGATTGACTTTACAAGCAACGTGTCGTGATCCAATCGGTTCATTTGTTGTGCTTGAGTTCTTGGCGAACAAGAGCATTCCAACGTTGCCGCAGCTACCCTGATATAGCCCCCTGCGACTTTTTCTTATTACCTAGGATGAAGTCATACCTCAAGGGAATACACCATGGTGACGTACGGGAGGTCAAGGAAGCCGTCACGAAGGTGCTGAACGGTCTAACTTTGGAGGATTACCAAGGGTGCATCCAATCGTGGGAGCAACGTTGGAAACGTTGTGTTAGGGAAGACTATTGTGAAGGTTCGATTCAAATTTGATTTCCGTTCCTGTTCTAAACGAATTTTAAAGAAATTATAGAAAATTAATAAAAAAAAGCGCCATTGCTTCTATGTGCTTCTCGACACTTGTGATGACTGCAAGGGTATATAAGCTTCAGCTTACCAAAGCAAGCTTCCTTTCTTGTTGTACCCTAATTTTTAATTTTAGTCAGAAGTTTGCAACGCAGTGAAGGAGGTACCTCAAACCCCACCGATTGCATAATTTTTTAGAATTTCAAGTTGAACCGAGAACAAAATTTCATAAAAATCGCACAACTAAATTATACAGCTACCATATAAAAGATTATAAAATCTATATAGAATTGGCTGAAATAAAATTATAACATTTCAGCCGACGAGCATGATTTTTGGAATATAGAGTTTTCAAAACAATTTTGATATATCTTAATCGATTTTCTTTATTTAAAAATTAATTTATAATCTAAATTTAGACGTGCAGACACTTTTTACAACATTAAAAAAATAATAATATTATAAGTATTTGATTTACGATATAGGAAAAGCTTTAAATAACAGTAAATGTATAAGAAGATGTTGCAGGATAGATGTGGTTGTGCGTTTGTCAGGAGTACAATAGTGCCTATGCCTAAAAAGTTCACATCTTAAGACTTACTGTACTATGTAGTGAAATATAATATTTGTATAATCTCGATTTCATTGTGGTTGGCATGCGGTGAGTTGATCGCTCCAAAATTATTCGTTCAACATATAGCTTATAACTAAGTATTTTACAACTCGCAATACATGTTAACGGCAACATTTTTCATCTGAATTCGATCTACATATATACTTCGACAGAACGTAAAGGATTCAAACTGGAGCTGGTACATATTTACTTGGGCTGCTTGGTTAATATCTGTAGCATGGGCGTGCCTTTGTCCTTCGTCGTTCACATATTTCTTCCTCCGAAGTCCTTTGTAGAGCCGAAGTCGTGCTTAGAACCGCTTAAGTAAAAGCGGCTTGTTTCTGTCGGCGAACGCCGTGTTGATCCACTTAATGTCGGGCTTGGCAAAGCGGACTGTCTGCCCGTCGCCGCAGGAGCTTTCTCCGGCGAAAATTCCCTTGAGGCGAACGTTTGAACCGCTTCCGCAAGCGAGCGCGCTGCCCACGTCGAATTGGCAGGCGTCGAACTTAGTGGCGCTGCAAACGCTGCTGTCGTCGGCTCCACAGTCGTTGCGGCTCAGCGCCGATGTGTCGGTCACGTGCATCAGAGCGCCCTCTTCATGGACTGCCGGGCGGGAAGGAGTGGAAGTTAGAGTGGTTCGGATCGGATGAACAAAAACAAATGGATAATAGATTATGGGCAATTATAGGTTCCTAAACTAAAAATCGAAATGATCTATTTCAAATATAAATGTGGGGGCCACTCAGTTCACGATTTCTGGACAGTAAAGCGGACGTAGCTTATTTTCGTATCCTTGCAGAAGGTAGAAAAATATGATTAAATAGACTAAATTTTAATGTAGGTGGTATGTACAAAGGTGATAGAACTGGCCTCACTTTTTACTGTGTGGGTAACAAAGTTTGCTGATTTTGCAATATCAAACTTTTTTGAGAAAAAATTAGTCTCTATTGACCCTTTTACAATGAAACAAAATTATAACATAGTTTTTTTTTAATGATTTTTGGAATATAAAGATTTGAACAATTGTTAAATTTCAAATTACATTTCATGAAAATTGGAAGACTATAACGTATATCTTTTTTCTAACTGTTATTGAAATTTGGATTAAATTTGATCAAAATCGGATAACTCTATCATATAGCTGCCATAGGAAAGATCGAAAAGTCTATATAAAAATAACAGAAATAAAATTATAACATCGTTGATTTTAATCAGAGAAAAATGATTTTTGGAATATCAAGTTTTCTGACGACTTTAGAATTACGAATTAAATTTATTCAAAATTTTACGACTATATCATATAGCTGCCATATGAACAATAGTCGAAAATATGGAAAATTAATAGAAAAATCGTTATAGCTTCAATTTTGTTTGGCCTCTATGTATTTGGTTCGACATATTTAATGACTGCAAGGGTATATAAGCTTCGACTTGCCGAAGCTAGCTTCCTATCTTGTTTAACTACTATTGAATTTCGAATTAAATTTTATAAAACTTGGATAACTATATCATATAGCTGCCATAGGAAAGATCGAAAACATACGAGTATGATTTCAAGAACATCAAGTTTTTAACTACACTTGAATCGAGAAAAAATTTCTTAAAAATCGGACACTATCATATGGCTGCCACAGGAAAAATCGAAAAATTCATATAGAATTAACGGAAATAAAACGGTAACATCTTTGTTTTTCATCAGACAAGCATAATTTCTGGAATACAGAGTTTCCTAACCTAGAGTCGTTAGGAAACTCTGTACTACTAAATTTCATTAAAATCGGACGACTATATCATATTGCTGTCATATGAACAATAGTCGAAAATATGGGAAACTAATAGATCGTCATAGCTTCGATGTAGCTTAGCCTTTATGTATTTAGTTAAACTCTTTGAGGTCTGCAAGGTTATATAATCTTCGGCTTGCCGAAGCTAGCTTTCTTTCTTGTTTATTCATAAAATGTAAAAAACATAAAAAATAGTTAGGTGTAGCATTTTTTTTATAACGTAAAAAAAAAAAAAACTTAAAATTCGGGCTTCTAAACTAGCAAGTCGTAAAAGATTTACTATGAATATGTGATGAGTCTTCTCTACGCATTCTTTAGTGCTACAATATGCGAAAAGCGAAAGCGAAAAGAAACACTTTTGGGAAAACTTACTCGATAAGGCTTGTTTTCCCCAGCCGGAGGTGACGCACTGCTCGGTTGCCTTTGGGTCCTCATCGCTGATGCAAATGGGCTGGATGTGTGTGGCAAACTCCAGGCGCTTTTCGAGACGGATGATGGCCAGGTCGTGGGCGTTGGTCGAGGGGTCATACGAAGGGTGCACGTCGATGGTCTTGGCCCCAGTCAGCTGGAACGGCAGAGGTTCGTTTGTGCTGCCCAGCTCCCACTCGCCGGCCTTCACGCGTATGTCGCTCACCGGCAGGCTGAGGTATTCCAGTTATTATGGACTCAATCGGGGAAAAACGAAGGGGTCGACTTACCCGTTCACGCAGCTGGCGGTGGTCAGCACGAACTCGTCTCCGATAATGGCTCCGCCGCAGATCAGCGTTTTGCTGGACTCTCGCAGGATCATGGCCTGCCAGGGGATCTCGGCAAAGTTGGCATCCAGGTCCTTCACTCCTGTGGGCTTGGTCCTGCAAAAAGCAAGGGTCCTGGTTAATGTGGATCAAAGAACAGGAAGTGCGTGCTCACCGTTTGTTCCTCGTCGCGCAAACTCCGGCCAAATTGACGGGCCATGGGTCCACGTAGTTGGGGTCTCGGCAGCACTTGCCTGGGGTGCCGTTTTCCGCCTGCAGGCAGTCAGTGAGGGGCACACGGAAGGCCACCTCCATGGGGCTCAGCTCCACAGGAGTCTCGGAAAGCACTCCAATTGAGTTGCAGAAGTTCTCAGAGGTGCACACGAGGGCCGAGGCGCACTTGGCGAAGTGCTTCGGGACGTCGCCGGGTTGTGGCGAGGGGAAGATCTGGGGGGAAAGCTGGTCCTCCCCACGGTAGATCGGCTTCTCGTTCGAAGGCTGCGGCACGCGATCAGGCTCAAAGCGCGGTATCTCGTTGGCCGACACAGGTGGCAGGTACTCGTTGGTGGGCCGGCGCGTCGGCTGCGGGCGGGGTTGCGGCCTTGTCTTGCCTTGGCTGGGGGTGCTGCGAGGTGGCTGGGCGGCCGTAGGTGGCGGCTGGTAAACGGGTCGCCGGGTCGTCTGAATGGGCTCGTAGCTGGGTCGCCGGGTGGTCGGGGGCGGCAGGTACTCGTTGGTGGGTCGCGGAGCTGGCGCCGCCGTCGTAGGCTGGGGACGGTACACTGGCTGGGTGGTGCGCACAGCGGGGACCGTCGGGTTCGTCGGCAGCGGGAAGGTCTTGTCCGGCAGATTGAAGATATAGCCGTCCTCGGTCAACGTGGTTGAGGGCATTCGGCAGCAGACATCGGGCGCAGAACAGCGACTGGGCTGTGGAGGAAAAAGAGGCGTATGAGAAGAGCTCCGCTAGTTCGTTATGGGTGTCTGCGCCACACAAATCGACTGCCAGTAGTTGCAATCATTAAAACGCCCAGTGCGGAACTGAGCATTTCGCGCCTGGGAGATAATTGTAAGCTAGAAAGCTTCAGTTCATGGACATATATGTCATATATGTCATGCAACACACCGTGGGCGGACTCTCCGAGCCTTCTCGGTGCCACCCCTCTTTGCTACAATTGCAGATGGGGCTGTATGTGCTTCGTCAAGTTTGTCGCCCGGGTCTGTTGTTCATTGAAGCCGTCGGCCATTGAGAGGGGGTGAACGGTGGAAGCGACTTCGGCCGCAGTGCCCACACGATTAGTGCACAAGTTGAGAGAAGTAGAAGCCAGCGAAAAAGCCAAATTATAACTACTTGATTGTTTTTGACAAACGAGTCCATTCGTATTCAAGGGTCCGGTAGCAAGTTTTTTATACAACGGCAATTAGCAGAGTGGCGACGATTCCATCGATTTAAATATATTTCCAACAAATAAGAAATAAAAAATGCCTTCAGCTGCGGAAACATTAGGTCGTTGACGAGTTTACAGCGCTTTTTTTGAAGCGGCTAACAACAAGTTGCGCAGTCGTTAACCATTAGCACTAGCGCCAAGAAGAGAAAAATGTTAGCCAAATGGCCCACCGGCTCGAGATGGCGGTTGTGCGCTTTCCGACCACCTTTTCACACGCAGTTAAGGGTCAGAGGAGATGTCATCGGGTCTTGGCCTTGGACCTACTATTACGCTCACTTTGTATGTCATAAATCATAACTCACGGGGCAGTGGCCTGCGCATGTAATGGCAAAATAATGTGCTCATTTGTTTAAAATTAACCAAAACAGGGCCGTGGGCAGTAATTGCTGATAGCATGTCTGTTTGCCTCCGAGTACGAGTCCGGCATGGTAGATAAATATAATTAATTAAAATAAACGCGCTTCCGTTTGGCAAGTGCTGGTCCAACCTGGTCTCAGTTGAGGTCGTTAATGGAAATGCCCATTATCGCTCTGCTGTAAAGCTTGTCCTTCTGATCGAGCGGCGACAGCCCCATTTAATTTCTTAACATTGTCATTAGGCACAACTGGCGACCGTCTGGCTTCATTTGCATCAATTAAGCGTTAATCAAATATTATCTAAATGTAGACTTCAATCGCAATGGCGTTTCGAGGAGCAGCACAAGCATTTAGCTTATGTAATTCATGTTATTATTAGGGAGGGCCTGCGAGAAAACAGGACGGAGAACGGCGCATAATTTTGATCAATGACAACAAGCTTTTCTGAGCAGGCGAAATCCCTGTAAAACATCAATCCTCGCCCCTGAGAGGCGATTACCTGGGACCGCCACTGGCCATTGCATAGCTTATGATCAATCATCTTACGCCAAGATAACAACTTCGACAACAAAAATTTCAAGCTACTTGTGTACCAGCGACAGCTAAAATATGTAATCGCCAGTAACATGAGAGCGGGGAGACTCCAAAATGCTTTTAATAAATGTTGTTGCTGGCTATAAAAGACAAGTTGTCCATTATTGTTGTTGTCAATGTTCCATAGATTGTCTGGCGCAATTTGTTAATAATGTTGCAATTACTATAAGTATTTATATATTAACGGCCATATATATATATATATGTATATATATATATATTTAAAAATCTGTATTTTCAGAGACGTTACCAAGTTCAGCAGAGGCAATAAAAAAGGTGATAATATCCGTGAATCCACTTGGATAGTAGGTACACCAGTGGGCCGAAGTCGTTTTTATGGCTCGGGGAAAGGTCAAGCCGTGGCGACATCTACTGCAGCGAAATTTACGACAGTAATGCCTTACTGCAAACATAGAACTATTTTATGACTGCATTAATGCGCCACTAGCACAGCACTAAATTCAGCATTCTTACTCCTCCCCTCTTTCTGCAGACAATTTATGTGCCGATAAATTGTTTGTCAGTTTTTGATTTGGCCGTTTTACGAGAAGTTGTCTTAAGTCCGGGCCACGTCAAATCCAGTTGCACCGCAGAGGAGAAGCTTCTGCGAGCCAGCGCAGGCCCTGAAGTGCAAGTGAATACAGGTCGTCAGGTATTTGTGACACAAGTTCGGCGCTTAAGTCTTTTGTTTATGCTACATGCATTGCAATTTATGATTAAGCATCAAATCCAGCGGCATGGGTCTAAAGCCCATTATTTATGGCCAAACAAGATGGCAAATAATGCAACGAAAATGCTCCAGCGAAAAACTAATTAATTATAGGTGACGTCAGGTCGGCAAGGTGTCGTCGTTAACAGCAAACATACATTTATGCTAATTATAACAAAGCCATTGACATTGTATTGATATGTAACGATCGCTGTCGCTTAACGGCAGACTAATAAAACCATAACAATAATAATAGTCGTAAAATACGCATTAAGCCAGAGTTCGGCCAACAAAGCCACTCTGCAGAGCCATCCGCGATTCAAATAAATGTTAAGCGCTGTCAACGACTTTCAGGCAGCCATGAAAGCATGCGATCAAGCTGACGCAGACCCCGAGCTCGACCTAGACCTTGAGTTCAGTGCTTAAGTTTCTCCGACGGCTGCATGCTAAGACACTCGATCTGCTCTGTTTGCTCCGCGTGCTTTGCAGCGGACGTGTTCAGCGGCACTGGCCTGTTACAGCTTAAGCAGTGTCAAAACGACGTGAAGTTGTGAGCCATAGGTTTACTTAAGACCAGCGCCAAACCAATATCGAGTTGGATGTGTTTGGATCGCTCCCTCACCAACTCATTAAGGAGACTCTTAAAAATGTGTATCTTGAAAATGAGAGTGCAAAACCTTCCTCTATTTTTGATGTTAAAAAATGGACTTTAAAAAACAAAAAAGACGCTAGCTTCCGCAGGCCGAAGGCTATGAACCCTTGCAGTTAAATTTGACATCTACAAATTAAACGATTATATTTATCATAAGTACTTTTTTATAAAGTAGGTTCATATGGTAGATTTTTCTCTATTTTTTCTATAACTTTCTAATATTTCACCTTCCTAATCAGATTTTAATAAAAATGTGCCTGTTTGTTTACCGACAACGAAGTTTTAGCATTGCATAATAATTTTGATATTACATTAATTTGAACAATTTTTACGATTTTTTCTATGTGAGCTATAAATGTACTCTTTGGATAAAAAAAAACTAAGAGTTTTTTATATAGTAAACTTTTATATAATTTTTAATAAGCCTTTTGATTTTTTTATGCTATAACACTTTATAGTCGACTGTTGGCGATACGGCCAAATTAATTAAGAATATATATACATACTTCATGCAGTCACTCCGTTGCTAACTTCTGAAATTATTAACCCCTTTGCAAGTTTTGAGAAAGGTCCATTATATCAGGTACAGTATAGGTAAGTGGATAGCGACAAAATTACAAAAATTTGATCAAATATAATAAATACGAGAAATAAAAAGGTTTTTTTTTTAACATTTCGTAATCGAGTTTTTCCTAAAATGCAATTTTTGCTAGAATAATATTTATATAATTTATAATATTTATCTGGTTAGCGGTTTCGGTCTCTTCGTTTGGTCCCCGTTCGCCATGCAGTACTCACTGCCAGAATTCAGCGACCTTGCCAGCATTCCTTGCATATTTCATTGCTAAAGTGGGGTACCCGAATCGTGTACCCTTCGCACCTATGTACATCGCTTGTGCATCCTCGACATGGACCTAATTGTGGTCATCTTGTTGATAATGTAGTTGTTGCTCTGCTGGCATGCCACACAACTGACGTTAATGCCTGCATAACTTAACGAGTCTGGCTATTATTGTAAGTAATGGTCGCTGGGCAGACGGAAATCATGTGTCGCAATGAGGGTCAACCAGAAATGTCTTTAATCGTAGGCCCGCAAAACTGAAGAGGATGAGAACTATGAAAAGCAACCTTAGTGGAAAAACTGTGCCTAAACTTGGGCAAGGGGTTAGAATTGGTAAGCATTGCCAAAGAGTGCAGGGGATGCCAGCGATGATATCACTGAAGACGACCTGCAGCTGTTGCGTCGCTGCCTGCACTGCAACATATTTCACTTGCCGCGCTCGTTTTTTCAGGCATTGCATGCAGCGGCACTGTACGCAACTGACCCGTTTTTCCGGCCATTGCATGTAAGTAAATTATGCAATTGCACTGGTCTGGTGAAAATCAGAGATCTCTCATAGCCCCAAGTCGCTACCTCTCAGAGTCTTGGCCTCTCCCGATGCGCGGTAAGCTGGACTGTTGTACCGATTTACCCCTTCTCACACATATATTTATATATATATGTCTGTATACATATTTTTTTCCCCCTGGTAGGCAGTAATTTAACACTTTGTGACTTGGATGCGTGTATGTAAGGCATTACTTGTAGGCTCAACCGCATTCCAGTTTGATTATTGCCTGGTGGCATCAAGTTCGTTGCCGCTGCCAGAGTTTTTGAATTAAATTTTCGCCCCATGGCAATGTCATTGCTGGGACTGGCGCGAAATGCACTTGAAAAGTGGACCAAGTGGACATTCAACTTAAACGAAGCTGGTTGCCCGCTTGAGAACCTTTTGGCCATTTGGCGGTATAGCTTTGGAGAATCCCAAGCCTAAATTAGAGCAGACTCTAAAACTAATTGTGTGCTAATAAGCTGTCGGTGTTTCGTGGGCTGCTGTGCTGGTTTTTGTGGTTTCCCATGCATCAACGGGCTTGTGAAATGCTGAAATCGTTGCGGTCGAGTCTAATTCCGGCAGAGCCAATTGCTTCTACTTGGTTCGTTTTGTTTGGGCGTCTGGCTCGTCATTGGTAACACATTCAAACAGCTACTTCGCTAATGGAATTATGCTATGTCGATTAAATGAAAAATCCCAATGTACAAATGAGGCAGAGTCTAGATTTCCCAACTGTTTTGTTAGCAAACAGTTCTCTGGTCGGCGACAGTCCCTAATACGCACTTACCCCTTGCTTCTTTACGTAGTTAATGGCACTTATTTCACCATTGCGACAGTTTTCTGGGGCAACACAGTCCGAGTCGCGGGGACAGGAGACAAACGGCACGGGAGTTGTGGTTGTTGTGGTGGTGGGCGGCTTATAGGTGCAGCACACGTCAGTTTCCGGCTCGCAGTTCTGAGAATAAAAAGTAATGTGTGTCAGAGTTTAAAATAATTCTTTAATTAAAAAATTGACGAACGCCCAGACCAAAGTATCGACCTTAATGTTGCAACGCAACCCCACTGATTGAGATTGCAGTCGTCTTTGCCAAAAGGTCACCAAAGTTTAGCAACTTGCATAAATGATGTGCTAAAAAGTGTCCAGCCAGATTGTAGTGGCAGTGGTCAGCGTCTATGTGCTTGAAACTTTTGCATTTACATTGAACTTTGCCGCTGTCGTCTTGCGGACCTTCGCTTATATTGCTAAATTTTTTTCACATCTAAGCGCTGTCTTTTGGTCAGCTGGCATTTAGCAATTGAACAATTGCAAATTAATAACTCTGTCAGCCTGAGGCCAGAGATCAAAAGCCGCAACAGTAGCTTGAGGCGGGATCGCCTTGACGATGTTGCAGCTTAAGAATCTAATAAAGAGTTCCCTATCGGGTACAGCTGCCAAAAAAGCGACGTCATGCCATGAAAGAAGAGTTTAAATAACCAGTTCAGACTGCGAAGTTCCCAAACTGGCACCCCATATATCAATCAGCCTCTGAATATTACAAATTAAACTGTCTAAGTCCCCTTATTTATGTCTGCTTTTATGTCTCCTCAAGCAAGAAAAGCTAAAATCGAAAACCCATTTTAATGTTTTTAAGACTATTCTGAAGCACGACCTTGACTAATGAAGATCTTTGGCCTGAGCGTGAGTTTAGAATGCTAAGTGGATATTAAATAGCACGGATATATTTTAAAGCAATCATTTTGGACTTGAAACACAGAATACCAGCTTCGGTGGTTTTTGAAAGTACTCAAATCTGGTTTATGTGTATGTGAAATGGTTAAAAATAGCTTTATGAAGCCCATGTGTGGCATTGCTTGTGCTGTGGAAACTAAAAGAACGTACGGCACGTGCTTTAAATCCGTGTTCAAGACGTTTACACGGTCCCGGAACTTATAAAATAAAACAACATCGTCGTAACGGAAGCCAGAGCAATTGGGGAAGATCCCCGACAATTTCAATACACAACAATTGCTGAAGTTTGACATCATCATTTTGTTTACTTTATTTTAATTGCTTATGCGCTGCTTACTAGTAACGTACCTCCCGATACTACAGCTAATTATTCCCAAATATAATTGATCTGTGAGCCGCAAATATTACCTCAATTGTTTGCTTTTTTTCAGTTGTTTTTGCTCGCTATTCACACAGTATGGCGAAAGAGCTTGACAAATTTCCCGACAAGCCTTCAAGAATACATTTTGCAAAAAGCAATTGAATTTCGAGAGTTTCCATTCTCTTTTTTTCTTTGTGATTATGTTTGGATTAAGGATGTTGAATTTAAAGTTCTTGAACTATTTTAGTAGTTACGTGTTAATAATTACGAACCTATTTTTTTCAATTTCTTTTATCCTTTTATCAAAATGTATACTGTTCTTTTAAAATGTTTTTTTTTCTAAACGTTTTGATTATTTTTAAAACACAAAACAAAGCAGGAAGAAAAAAAATATATACATATTATATTATAATTATATTGATATAATTGAATTAATTGATTATTATATATCGTTAGTTAATGCCTTCTGTCCATAAAATATAAAATGGTGTGTTTTCAAAATCTATAGATACTTTATGGCAGTCTTGTTGCTTGTTACAAAAACTTCGTTTTTACCATTAAAACAACTCTTTTTTTAACTGGGGACTCTGGAAAATTCATTAGATTCACACAACTTATTTCCACGATTTTTTTTTTAGTGTGTATTGTACCTTGGTATATGAACTACACATTTTTATATTAACGACGAAAATAGGAACAATTTGGGTATTAAAAACAAGAAAGGAAGCTAGCTTCGGCAACCCGAAGCTTATATACCCTTGCAGTCATCAAATATGTCGATCAAAATGCATTGGGGCTAAACAACATTGAAACTAGGACTATGGCAGCTATATGATATTGTTGTCCGATTTTTATGAAATTTAATATGCAATTCAAGAGCCGAGCTAGAACCCTCTCTATTCCAAAAACAATGCTTGTCTGATGAAAAACAACGATGTTATAATTTGATTTGCCGTATTTCTATATAGATTTTTCGATCTTTCCTATGGCCGCTATATGATAACATTGTCGGATTTTAATGAAATTTTTTTCTCGATTTAATGGTTATTAAAAAACTCCATGTTTTGAATTTTATATGTTATAATTTATGTTATAATTTTTTTTCATTATATATATTTATATTTTTTGATCTTTTGTATGGCAGCTATATGGTGGAGTAATCCGAATTTGATAAAATTTTATCCGAAATTCAATGGTGGTTAGAAAACGCCATTTGGAAGAAATCAAGTCGATCTGATCAAAAACAACGGCGTTAGAATTTTTTATTTCAATCTCTTGTATGGGAGCTATCCCATATAGTCGCCCGATACGGCCAGTTCCTACTTATATACTGCGTGCTATAAAAACACACCTTTTGGAAAAGTTTCAGCAAGATAGCTTTAAAACTGAGAGACTAGTTTGAGAAGAAACGGACAGGAGGACAGGAGGACAGACGGACAGACGGACAGACGTACAGACGTATTTCGATTCAGATCGTGATCCCGATCAAGAAAATATGTATTATATTTATGGGGTTTGAGGTGTCTCCTTCACTGCGTTGCAAACTTCTGGCCAAAATTATAATACCTTTTGCTCTGCAAGGGTATAAAAATAGACATTCTTAACTGAACATGAAAAATGTATTCAGACGGTAAGAAAATCATTTTTAATTTATATGTATATGATGTATAATAAATATGATTTATAATATATATGATATATAAAATATGATATATGATATTTAATCTTTAAAAACAATAGTTTCGACCTACTCTTAAATGCGTTTAATTGCATTCAGTACTGCCCGTAGGGGCTATGTATCTGTTAGGATTTTTAAAGCCCTGCTCTGGTAGAGGAGCTCGATCAAGACTTTGATCGAGTGCACATACATACATATGTACATACACATATATACATAAATTGTTTTTTTTTGGTCGAAAGCGAACCTCGTGAGGGGCAATTAAACATGAACTTCGCTTTTTATTCAATTTTGTGGGATTACGAAATTCCCAATCGCTATGGTCTTTCCAGCACGTATGTGGGCTGGTGTTTCGGACTTCGGTAATGACAAACCGGAAAATAACGGTAACAGTGCCAAACAACTCAACTCAAGCCAACCACAAAAGCAACAACAAAAGCTAGCGATACAGAAAATGCAGATCAGGCGAGCTAATCAAGCAACAACAACCGCAATATTTTGCTGTTTATCGCCACAGACGAGCTTTTAATTTTTCGATTTAGGTCTCCGTCGGGCGCGAACGGATCCAATTGGCTGGCTTCGATTGGGGAACAGAGGCCGCTTGTCAAGCGACTACATTTTCTGACCCGGAAAAACCCCAAATCAATATCCCATTATGCAATAGACGGCTAAATGAAAGGGCACCAAACCGAATATTGAATATTAAAAAGGTTCCGAATATCGGTTGAGAGGCAGCAACTTACTTGTATCCTGGGCAACTGTTGGGTGAAGAATCCGTTCAGACACTGGTCTTTGCGAACACATTGCTGGCCGGAGATGCACTTCAGGTACTCCTTGGGTGGCAGATAGGTGGGTCCTTGAAAGGGGGACGCTTGCCTGCTGATAATGGCGTGATTGAGAAACACGTTTGACGAGGGATTGACTGAAAGATGGGTCTCCTTGTGATCCCTGATGCCGTTTTGGTACTGGCCGTTTAGAAACATGTTGCCCTGGTAGTCGGCACTGGCCAATGCAATCACTGCCAGAACAATGAGTAAGCCAAGGTGCTCACAAAATCGTAAAGTGGTCATAGCTGTTCGACTCTCTGGATGCGGGCCTGAAAAACTAGAGAACGCCAGAAAATGAATTATTGCGGGTGACAAAGCGTCATATAAATAAAGCAAATGGAATTCTCAGACTGCACGGGTGGCGCAAGTTCAACACCTTTTTATTGCAAACACATAGTGATGACATAATTTGATCAGGCGAGAACATCTGATGGCCAGTACTGACTCTTTTATCAGTGGAAAAGTGTAGCTTAGCCCGTCCAGGACTCTAGAGACTGGAGATTATTCTATGGAAAACCGTCTTGACTTTCCGCCAAACCACTCTTCCAAGGATAATTGCTGCAGTCCAAAATTATTGAAGTGTAAAGTTGACGGGTGTTAAAATTTTGGAAAGTTACCCCTATCAGTAAAGTTAAAATCTTGATTGAACAAATCGAAAGCAAACTTTTCACATACGAAATCATTGAGGGTTTACGAGAGGTATATAAAACGTAAAACTAGCCAACATCACATCCGGATATGCTTAATTCGCTTGGGGAATTCTAACGCGATCTGAGTCACTGATTTTAAAATCGCAAAGAACAGGATGATTTTGCATGTATTCTATCGCCAAATCGATCATTCAGCCAAATTGCGGCATGCGTTCGTCGTGAGTCAAACCTAAAAATAGTAAAAAAGCCGCTCTGATCCAAAGCAAAAACAAAAATGGAATATCTAAATATAAGTATGTGTGTATAAACAAATCAAATTGCTGGTTTTTACCCAAACAAAATTTGCATAAAATATTTTCTGGCTTTTTTGACAAATTTGAATGACAATCAGTTTGTATTCAAATTTAGAAATTTCTGTGAATTTCTACTTTCTATTTCATGAAAAACAATGTTTTTCGCGCAGTCATCAAATTCCACTGGCATACTTTTTTCGGATATTAACAAAAATGTTACTTTTTCAGAGAAGGAAGTAAACCCCTTAGATATAAAACTTTCTTTATCTGGATATAATAAACAAACATTTTTGAGTTAAAATAAATTTATGAGTTTTCAAATTCTGAATTGATTCTGATACTCTGTGGGCCGTCTCCCAAAAAGATAACGATAAAGATAAAATACAAATATAAGAGTCCCTGCCACTTTTCAAAAAGAAAAATGCCTTGTCTCATATTTTGCCATCGGCAATGATGCGGCTAGTCCAGTTATATGCCAAAGCCCAGCCGCATTAATCCCGCATTTCAACTCTTCCACTCAATTGCCATATGCATATATGCAAATTGTATTTTGTTGCTGTTGTTTCAGAAGCTGGGGGTTCTGACGCTGGCGAGTTGTCTGTTGGCTGCCGTTTCTGCTGCATTTCCGTGGGCGCTTTTCACATAAATTAAAACTGCAAATTTTTTGCCTTGCCGCATTTGGCAACAATTCAACAAAACACAGTACAAAACAACAAACAGCAAAGTTCAGATCGCATCACCAACAAATAAATTTCGACTAAGCTAAACACAATGCACAGTGGCAGCCAAATCCGAAGACGAAATGGCTTTGCAGACTGACGGACGGGCGGACGGGCGGACGGAGGCTGGGACTCGGCAACCTCGAAGCAGCGACAACTGAAACCGAATCAATGGAACTATCCATCAATCAATCAACCGCAAGTGAATTTAATTTTTAGCCACAAAAAGCTGCGGCTGCACAGCTTAAAGTCGCTAAGCTGCAGCCCAATTGGCCTAAATGCATTGTTGCCTGTGCGAGGGTGGCTTGTGTGAGAGCCCACGGCTATATTAATTGTGTCCTTTGGTGTCCTTTAACTTTCACTTGACCACCGGCAGTCAGATTGTCGTGGTAATTGCTAAGCTACGTCCGGATCCCTTCCCGGATGTGGCCTACGGATGACCGATTCCACACTGGTCACTGCTCTAGGGGCACACACTTACACTGAGAAAATGCCAAATACTTTTGGACACGAACGCGCGAGCGAACAACTTGAATATGATTGTGAATATTTAACCAAGATCGTTTGTTTTATACGTGCCCAGCAAAGCTAGCCACAGAGCAAAGCAGTAGCAGCGCAGCCCGCGTCTGCATAAAGAGTCGCAGTCGCAGCCTCCTCCGCCGAAGAAGCGAACAAGTGATTTGGTGGGAGCCGCAGCCGCAGTCGCGGCTCAGCTGGCGCCGGCAGATGAGTCAACGCCTGCGCTGACGCTGTCGTCGACATCAGCGCAGCGCAGGTGCTCTCCGCATGCTCGCTTTCGGACAGTGCGGATCTTGATCTTGGCTTCTCTGCCCAGAGTAAGCGCACAGGCGCAAAAGAAGCTTGGCTCTCAGTCCGATCTGAAGACTCTAATTTCTCGTCTTCCGCTCGTCTGGCGCCGCGGCTTAATTTGGCTTGAGCATTCCAGGGGCTTTACATTTTTAGTAGTGCTATTTCGGGCTCTATTGGGAGCTATTACCTATTAATTGTGGTTTCAGGGTCTGGTTTTGGACTTGGACAGGTTATTGCACACAAAGGTTGCTTTGGGGATTCAAAGAGTGCCCGCAAATGTTTCTGAGACATGCAAATAGTCCCACTCAACCTTAAAGCAACTAAGAGACGACGAATAATAAAATAAATCCGGACAGTTCTAGGTATAAGGGTTCAAAATAAATGGTATCGGAGGAGAAGTGAATCTTCAAGGTCTAAACAAAGCTGGCGTTAAACATCACATACTGCTGCCAGCGGGCGAAGTAAAATTGAAACCAAATCAGGTCATCATTGAAGACAAACATAATCCAAAAAACTCATTTCGCAATTCAACAAATCAAATTAAACCAAACATTTTTCTACCAACATACTGATACAATTTGTTGCACAAATCACTACGAGTGGTTTTTGGCTGCACGCATTTATTTAATTTAAGGTCGTGGTAATTTATGTTGGATGTTCGTCAGTAGACAATATCTAAGTTCGGAGTTATCTTGTAAAAACTGAGACATACAATATTTAACGATTTTCAAACACCTAATACATTTGCTGATATTAAGCCCCTATTTTTGAAAACGAAGGAAGTGGACAGGTTTGACTTAAACCTTTCCAGTAAGACCGAAATATTTTTTGTACTTAGTTAGATAGATTTCAAACAATAAAGGAAGCTTGCTTCAGCCAGCCGGAGCTTAAATACCCTTGCAGTCATCAATTATGTTTAACAAAATACATAAAGGCTAAACAAGCTATGACAATTTTTCTATTAATTTTCTAGATTTTCGATACGATATAGGACGTTCAATTCTTTTTAGGCATAGCTTTTAAATATCTATTGTCGGAACGAACTGCTTAATGAATGCGTAACAAAATCGAAGCTATGACGATTTTTCTATTTATTTTCTATATTTTGTTTCTTACAATTCCCTTTAATAACCTTGCAGAGGGTGTTATAATTTCAGTCAGAAATTTGCAATGCAATGAAGGAGACACCTCAGACCCCATAAAGTATATATATTCTTGATCAGCATCACGATCAGAATCGAAATGCGTCTGTCCGTCTGTTCGTCTGTCCGTTTCTACGTAAACTAGTCTCTCAGTTTTAAGGCTATCTTGCTGAAATTTTCCGAAAAGGTGTGTAGTTATTGCACGCAGTAATTAAGTCGGAACGGGCCGGATTGGCCGACTACATCGGATAGCTCCCATACGAGAGAATGAAATAAAAAATTTTCACGCCGTTGTTTTTGATCAGATCGACTTGATTCCTTTCAAATGACGTTTTCTAACTACTGTTGAATTTCGGATTCAATTTTATCAAAATCGGATAACTCTATTATATAGCTGCCATAGGAAAGATCGAAAATATATACACTGGTCGGCATATATATTTTGACAATAATAAAAGTAAAATAGACTCGAAACTTGAACTTGCTTCTTTTAACTTTCGGTATCAATGGAAAGGTAATTAAAATGCCGTTTGAATGATACCATACTTTTCTTAACTCATTTGATATTTATTGAAAAGGGCAATTTTTAAAAAAATTAAAAAAAAATTTTTTTATAATATTGAATATTAAAATTTTTGGATGCAAAAAGTTTCTTAAAACAAAAAAAAGAGTAACTGCAAAAAGAATTTTTCAAAAATAATTTTTCATTTATTTTTTTATAATTTTTTAAAAATGTTTAGAAATACGCAGTTAAGCCATATTTTTCTCTTTTCCATACAAATTTTTTCCGACATTGTCACCTTCGAAAAATCATAAAAAAGAAAAGAAAAATTATTTTTGAAAAATTCTTTTTGCAGTTACTATTATTATACCTTTGCAGAGCAAATGGATATTATAATTTCACTCAGAAGTTTGCAACGCAGTGAAGGAGACACCTCAGACCCCATAAAGTATATATATTCTTCATCAGCATCACGATCAGAATCCAAATATGTAGGTACGTCTGTCCGTCTGTCCTCCTGTCTGTTTCTACGCAAACTAGTCTCTCAGTTTTAAAGCTATCTTGCTGAAACTTTCCCAAAAGTTGTGTAGTTATGTCAGCTATATAATAACGTTATCGGATTTCAATGAAATTTTTTCTCGATCTTAGGCTTATTAAAAATCTCCATATATTGAAAATCATGTTGGTGGAATTAAAAACAAGACGTTATAATTTTTTTCCATTGTTTATGTATATTTTTTCGATCTTTCCTATGGCACCTATATGATAGAGTTATCCGATTTTGATAAAATTTAATCCGATTTTCAATAGTAGTTAGAAAACGCCATCTGGAAGAAATCAAGTCAATCTGAGCAAAAACGATGGAGTAAGAATTTTTTTTTCAATCTCTTGTATGGGAGCTATCCTATATAGTCGCCCGATCCGGCCAGTTCCGACTTATATACTGCGTGCAATAACTACACACCTTTTGGGAAAGTTTCTGCAAGATAGCCTTAAAACTGAGAGACTAGTTTGCGTAGAAACGGACAGACGGACAGACGTATTTCGATTCAGTTCGTAATTCTGATCAAGAATATATATACTTTATGTGGTCTGAGGGGTCTCTTTCACTGCGTTGCAAACTTCTGACTGAAATTATAATACTCTTTGCTCTGCAAGGGTACAAAAATCGTCATGTATCGTCATATAAATCGTTTATGTATTTTGTTCGACATATTTGAATTCTACAAGGGTATAAAAGCTTCGGCTTGCCGAATCTAGCTTCCTTTCTTGTTTTTACATACCTATGTATGTAAGTTGGCCAATATTTTATTTAGCATCTAAATTTATGACATATGTGGTTTTCGACTCCGACGATTCTTGCTTGTATACTCGTACGTTTTGCAATAAGGGGAATAATTCTTAAAAACTTTTATAGGAACTTTTTGTTAGTTCCAAAAAAATGGGTTTCGTAAGTAAGTTCAGACTGAGTGCATAAAACGTTCGACTTAGTCTACATTGATGGGTGGAACGGGGTCTTTAGTTGTGTGTGATCAAACCAGTTCTACATCAATAAAGTGTGATTGATATAAAACTGATCTATTAGTTTTTTAGCCGCATCTTTACGCGTTAGTCGAGACATGACAAAACCTTCCATGAAACTTTAGGCGCCGATCCGCATAAAGTTGCTTAGCTGAGCGTAGCGGCGTCAAAAATATTTTGGAGTCCGTTCTCCTTGACGAGAATTAATTAATTAGTGGTTTCTGTTCGTCTTAACATTCCTACAGATGTTGACGTATTTATTTTCTCATCTAGCAAAATGAGCATTTTATAGCCCATCGTGCCCCAAGGTACGTTAATATGAGTGAATCACAACCATTCTATTATACGAGTAGAAAATATGTTGCCTTTAATTCTACTTATTATTTACGCACAATAAACCGCATGTGGTTGGGTAACATAAATAATCAGTCTCACATTCGGCAAGCCACACAAGTTGACTCAGCGTGAATCATATGCAAACGCCTTCAAAATGTTAATTATGCTGGTAGCTGGCTAGAAAACAGAACGTAGGCGGCGAAAACATTTCCGAAAGTATGTAGGAGAGGAGAACGTATTTGCTTTTTGCTGTAAATTGTATAAAAAATTTATAATAATACAAACATACCTCAACTATCTGACCTAGACTATAATCTGCATGATTAAACTTAACTATTACACCTTCCGCTAAGTATTTTCTCCAAAAATTTGTGTTGTCCAAACTATAGGACGAATAAAATGCCAAGTTCGACTTGTTTGACGAGCTTAATTAGAAAATACATGCGCCCTTTCCGGAGTCGAAGTTCCGTCACCTGAAAGATGCTATTCCACAAACACATGTTTATAGCTTGCAGAGGGTATTAGTACTTCAATCAGAAGTTTGCAATGCAGTGAAGGAGAAACCTCAGACCCCATATATATTCTTGATCAGCATCACGATCTGAATCGAAATACATATGTATGTACATCTGTCTTAATGTCTGTTTCTATTAAAGTAGTCTCTCAGTTTTAAAGCTATCTTGCTGAAACTTCACCAAAAGTTGTGTAGTTATTGCACGGAATGGGCCGGATCGGGTGACTATATCGGATAGCTCCCATTGAAAATAAATATTACGCCGTTGTTTTTAATTATATCGACTTGATTTCTTCCAGATGAATTATTATAGAATAATAATAATAACGTTCTCCGATTATTATAAAATTTTTCTCTCGATTCAAGGGTTATTAAAGAACTCCATATTTTAACAAGAAAGGAAGCTAGCTTCGGCAAGTCGAAGCTTATATAACCTGGCAGTCAGCAAGTAAGGTATGCGGAATGAAATACGAACAAAATTGAACGGGTTCGCAAAAGATTATAAGAACTTATAGAGATAAACAAAATACACGATAACTAACAGTACTATTCTAGCTTGCATTACAAAAAATTGTAGCTTTCTCTGAGGACAGTAGAGCGTCGAAATTTAATTTGCACATATTGTGCATATAACCCATTTCAGCCAAAAAATACAATTTTTCATTACTTTTCGGCTAAGGGGCTTAGGAAAACGTTTATTTATAAAATTATTTCGGATATTCAGAGTGGAAAAA